TACGCTTAATTTTCCTGTGAGTTTTCTGCTGAGATTTGGTCATTTCCATACAGAGTTGGATTTATTTTTCTCCTCCAGACTGATAGCTTCGTTGATTTATGCGAACCTTTTGAATCGTGAAATTGCGTATCATGAAAGTCATCTTAACGATTTAGTGAAAGTTTATCTATTATATGATTTACGATTTCAACCCGGCGGGATCCTCTCATTCAGCAGCAAGTAAATGATGGCCCGGAACGCGTTTTCGAGACTGTTAAATGTCGAAAACACCGACAGTTTTCATTCACCAAGTGTTTTGATCCAAGATTTGCATTTGCGTGCTATGCAAAGTGTAGAGATTTTTCTGAAAGAAACTCAATCATCAATGTTGAGTCGAGTGCAGGAATTAAATTTAATATACTTGCCGAACAACCCTCTGGAATCATCTTCTCATTGGGAGCCGAAACTGGTTATTGGATCAGATCAGATCTTGCAATCGTTTCTAAGCAAAAGCGAGTTGTTCGAAACATAGTTTCGGCCCTCAATGGAAAATACAGCGGAAAGCAAAATTTGAATGTCAAACTAGAGTAAAGAAGTGGTGCGGACGTTAGTCGAAAAGATTCCCGATGAGATTCTCACGCAGACTAAACTGAGGAGGAAGAAGGTGTCCTACAAAGCGGAGGCTGAAGAGCTCGGAGCAGATCAAGAGACGGGGAGTGGATGATGAATGTGGAGGAAACCGAAGGAGACAAATTGTCCGGGAAGATACGGACGAAAACTCCACGGAAAGCGACGACGAGCAAGAAAATCTACGCACCATACTAGAAGAAGCAAAGAGGATGAATCAGGACAGAGAAGTTCATACGAACCCCTCGTCTGGAACGTACAACATGGGTTCCGATGATGCAAGTGGAGGAGAAGAACTAGAGATGATAGCGGTATGGAGGAAACCCTTCAGGCAAATGTCATGCAATTCAAACATAAGGACGAATCTAGAGCCCGAAATCAACAGGGAAAACTTGAGCAAGATAGTGGGTGTCAAGTTTTGTGATGATATCCACAACCCGGGAAAAATGACGGGGCGAATTATGGCACTGAAGGAGAACGTGAAGTCGAGGTACAGGCTGTCAGACCTAATTCGGGCACAGAAAAATGACAAAATGACTAGCCATCTCTTCAGATGGATCAGAACAGGAGTAAAAGAGAAAGAGGATCTGGAAGAAGATGGCTATAAGATCTTGAGCCAGTTCTACAAGGAACGGAAGGGGCTACTTTATCACATGGCGGATGGATAAAGTACTTCACAAACACAAACTAATAAAAAAAACTTCACAAACATATACTCATCATACTACCGCAGCTGTATCAGACAGAAGGGCTGTTCAGGTCGCATCAGGGAATAGACAAAGTGCAACAAAGAATACCGCATCTGTTTGATTGGCCTGGTATGAGGAAAGCATGCGAGAGATGGGTCAAGGCATGTTTGCCATGCCTGCAAGTGAAGGACCCGAGGAAATTGAAGTTCCCACTGAAATCAGTGGAAAGCGGGGAATTCAATGAGATTGTGCAAATAGACCACCAAAAAATCGACGGGATATAATCAGATACTGGTGATCATAGACCACTTCACGAAATTGGCGGAAGCAGTACCGTGTCAAACGGCCTCAGCCGAAGCAGCTTGTGATCACTTAATCACGCACTGGATCTCGAGATATGGATGCCCCATGACCTTTCAATCAGACAACGGGAAGGCCTTCGTCGGAGAATTGAGGAGAGAGTTGATGAAAAGATCTCACATCGCTCAAGCACTCGACGACCTGCCACCCACAGACGAATGGACTTGTGGAAAGGAAAAAAATGACACTAGTGAACGTGCTCAGCGTATATTGCTCGAGGTACATGACAGATTGGGACAAGTACTTGCTGCAAGCGGCGCGAGCACACAACATCACACAACACAAGACAACGGGGATCAGTCCATTCATGATGCTGACAGGCAGAGAAAGGGCAATGCCGTTGATATACTTTTACCCAGAATACGAGGGGCAAAAGCATTCACCCCAGGATTACGAGAGGGAGGCAATCAAAAGGCAACAAGAGAAGAGTTGAATGAGATGTGTAGACGTAACACAGCTCAGGTACAGATGAGACAACGCAAAAAACATGGTGAGAAAACACTACAGGCAAAACCGTGCACTGTGAGACAGTATGTTTGGGTGTTTCAGAAGATCATCCCTCCAAAAGGAACAAAGAAGTTATTGAACAAATGGAGAGGACCGTTCAGGATGACAGAGGTAACCAGCAAGGTCGGTTCTATTGCTTGAGCACAGGATGTGCCGCGCATTATAAAAATCTGAAGCCTCATGTTCCGTCACCGGAGGATTGATGCGTGCCTCAAAATAAAGAAGGGTTAGGGTACCTGATAGTTGAACCGGCATGCGAGGTGAACGAGAACGATACCAGAGAGAAGAAAGATGGTAACGAGAATACAAGCATGGGTGACGATGAAAAGATAGAAGCCCACTCGGATGAAGGTTCTTTTGCGGAAGAGGATTGGAATGAACCAGATCAGAAGGATGTGCCATAGTGGAAAGAATCAGACAAGCCCCTGACCACGGATACAAGAAGAGGAGGACGCAAAAAGACCAGCATGCGATACAACAGATATGCTGATGACTTCTGGATTGACAAGATAAAGCCGCATGAGGTAGGGGCAGACTTGGTGAGCATAGGTGACTTAGTCCCAGACAAGGAGTAGCAGATCATCGATGATGATGAATATTACTGGCAGGAGGATCACAGTGTACCAGAACGGGAGATGGATCTAGAGCAAAAAGAAACAGAAAAGAGGGCGTATACAAACTTGAGGATTCTAGAAAGCATATATGACCTGGCAGCGGCACCATCGACGGGGACGTCGATAAATTTTTCTCCGTGGAGTGGGGGTAGGTAGCGTGGAACGTACTATCGGTAGCTTGAAAACTTTTGTTCCAACTTACGCTACGGAAACGGAGCATGGGAACCTGAAGGTAACGTTGGAACGCGCACTTACCGCTCTTATGTTTTCACCTAATGCTACGCTAAAAATATTGCCATTTCGGGATTACTACGGGCGTGAAGCTAACACAGTCCTAAGAAATTTTACGCAAAATCCGTTGCTAAAAAGCCTAAAAGGGATAGTGTTAAGGCATAAATCTGACTGTTTAGATAGTGAAGACCCTTGTACAGACCGGATGCCGCCGCCCGCGTTGACCAACTGGAATGATTGTTCCGATGTAGAATACGATGTGGAACACATCAACCACCCGAGGGAGCTGACGGAGGCCCACTCATGAACAGGGGAGGAGGCACCATGGGCGCCAAAGCAGGCACTGAGGGCACATCAATGAGGCCAAGAAGGATGAAACTGCTGTTCCAAAGGATCGATGACAGAAAAAAAGGTATAGATTTGTAAATAAAAGAGCACAAACATACCATTACACTTGATAACGGTTCTGTGCTTAAAAAGCGGTGAGGCAGAGCAGAGGATCAGTTCTCCGAAAAAAGCGCATCCGAGCGATTTTCCAACCCCGCCAACTATGGCGGACTTGCGATACAAGATTGAGAAAGAATTGCGCGAGAAACCCGAGAGAGTAAAGCCCACAACGAGAAGCGAGAGCAGAGGATGGACGCAAAACTGGGGCAACAAATCTGAGTCGGAGTACAAACCAACGCTTTTACCACGCGGAGGAAGGCTAGGGACAGGGCCATAGAAGCTGGACAAGGCACAAGCAGAACGGGGGAAGCGGAGCGAGAATACGAGGCGAGCGGGCCAGGAACGAGGACCGCAGATATACCCGGTAAAACACCGACTAAGCCCAAGGAGCAAGACTCGGATGAGCAAGATTCAGACGAATCGGCATCACGGAATGGTTTGAGAAAACATGCGGCCGTGAACAAGTTCGGAGGAGTCATGATTCATATTCAGGAAGGGAAAAAGAAACGGAAAGGGGTGATGGACAAAAACCGAGGAAATGCTAAGAGTAGATTCGCCGGACAGATGATCACTAAAACTAAAACGCTGAAGGAGAGGGTTGAACCATGGTCTTAAACTCAAACTCGAAATTTTAGCTTTATTAAGCGGAAGGAAATGCTAGATATGCATAGGTAGTACCACATTTGGTTTGAACAATTGATCTGAGTTTTGTTTATTGACGCCCGTGGAGCTGTCTGTTTGCCATATTGACAAGTACCTGCCATTTTGCCATCCAATGTGTTGAGTTCCTTAACAGTTGTTAAGTTAATGATTATTAATGACGGTTGGCCGGTTTTTAACAATGAATTAACGTAATAAAGACGACGGTTTTGTCAGTGACGAATCTCCCCTCTTTGCAAAAGGGGAGTAGAAATAGTTTGAGAGAACTGGAGGATCTTAAAAAGGTCTATGGGGGGAAGAGGCAGGGACGCAGGGAGGGGAGGGGAGGGGATTGTATTATAGGATGTATTAACTTGATCCAAATTTTTTATCGCATAAATTTTGATCAGTTTTATTTTAATTCAATTTTATTTTTATTCAATAGTTCAATTTTGTGTTTCAATTTTTATGCTAGTCGAGCTTTATGCTAGCCGATACGCAGCCTTCGACAAGAGTGGCGATACAATGTTACGAGTTCAAGGGTAAAAAATTGACGCTGCTGTGAGTTACAGCACATTTTTGAGAAAACGTGGAGGGAATTCGATCTCAATCAATCCCTGGTATATCTACCAGGGATTTTTTGGATTCTTGTAGAAAATTAGTTACCCAAAGTCATTGCCAAGTGGTTAACCTGAGTCTGGGGTTTCTTAATAGTATTGTTCAATTGATTTTAATGTTATTGATGTTTCCAAGTTGAGCTCAGTTAATCATTGTCAATTTTTCGTGTAATTATCGTTTATATTTAATTTGATAACTTTGGTCATGTCTGCATTAAATCTCAATGCCTAATTTGTCTGTGCAATTATTAAATACTATAAACTTTTACTATATTAACGCAACTGCTATTTCATACAGTAGTGAACATTTTTTTCTTCTTTGCAAGGCAGGTACAAGGTCATTGTTTTCAAATTCCAGATATTATTTTTAATGCACGTTTGCTGCGAAAATAATATTTTTACAAAATTGCAGTGAGTCAAAGCCTAGCTCAGTCTCAGCTTTCTCGTAACTCTCGATCGTATAAAATTGCAGCAAACGAAATCCTTATACTGCATCATATTATAATAAATCATGCCGAGCAATTGGGTAATTTTCGTTTCTAAAATATGTGTGCACTAAATGTATTTTCAAAATTTATGCACCAGAGTATTTGTTTTCCGTGTCTGAATAATGCAGAGATAATAATTTACGACGACAAATAAACCGTTCGACCATTCAGAGGCTGAACTTGTCTGAAATTACTCGTTATTTTATCACCATCCAAATCTGCCAAACTTCTCAACTGGTCAAAAAATACAGAAGAAATTTCTACCGGCTCTTTGTACACAATATGCATCACTGTTTCACTGAAGGGTGGCGTTGTCAGTGACCCTTGGTATATGAAATACTCTGACAATCCTTGCGGTACTAAACTTGAGAAATCGATCACTGGAATTTTTACTGGATCCGCTCGTGGGTTTGATATTTTGTACAAATTATTCCCAATTAGCTGATCGACTAGGAATTGGAATTTGGGATCGGTCTCCTTCGATATTTTCATCATTACTCCCCAAACAGCGAGAACATCGACTGTTTCGGTTTCCTGGTTCGAAGCCCATTTGTATACGAAGTGGATTTCGCCATCGTGTTTCTTTCCATCTAGCAAATGCTCACAACCACAATTACCTAAAAACGAAGTGTAATAAAAAATTTAATGCCAATAATGTATGAAAAATATTTTGACTTAAGGGTATACTATTTGTGGGTATTGATTGAGCCCTTAATTTATACAGCCCTAAGTCATTGTATTAAAAATAAAATTCTCTGGTAATATTACTTAATGTTACTTAATTTTTGAGAAATCAATTTTTCGTGCCTTTCTTTCTTACTAACATTATATTCTTCATTCTTCAAGTAGCAGTGAATATGTTGAAAGGTTTAAAAAAAGATATTACAATAAGTCAGCTAAATATACAATAACTCAGTTTTTGAAGTTAAATGCCACTGTTAAAAAGTTTTCCTAAAATATGCATAATTTGAAAAGGAGAAACGTGAGGGGCATTATCTACCGGTGAATCAAGTATGGGGTGAAATTTGTGAGTGTCAGAAAAAAATCATGTTTCTGCGCCAGTTGTTGGTTATTTTCCACCTCCGTCCACATTTGAACTTCTTTTTTGGAAAAAAACTAACTTAAAGTTGTGTCAAAATGTAGAGAACAATTGCACGGTGCATAAATTAACTGTTGTGAACAAATGTGTTCTGCATACTCCACGTCAAAAAATAGTACATTTAGCCGTAAGACGAACATGAAAATTTGAAATGTGGGAGGAACATGGAAAAGAGCCCAGTAGTCGTGATCAAACTCAACTACAAGGAAAGAGCGCCGAGGATTTTTCTCAATCTACAAATTTTAGACGGGCGATCTAGAAATACCTTTTCATAATATGAGCTGAACAGCCAGATCGAATTCTGAAAATATCATTTTTAACAAATATTCATTTAACTCACATCAACGCAAAATTTTAAATAGCCGATTGCTGTATAAATAACACAAAAAATTACAAGCACTACAAAAAAACAGCTTCTATTTTCAAATTGCGCCGTTTTTTGTTCGTGGTGTATGAAGAGGATTTGAAAGAAAGCCTAGAATTTCAAAATCATGGGCAAATGTGATAAGTAATAAGAAAGGCAAACAAAAATAAATTTCAACATTTATCAAGTTTCAAGGCAATCAAAAGTAAATCGGACACATTCAGCAACAGTTTGCTTCGAAAAATGAACAGAAAACAAAATTAAACCAAACTTTTTGGAAATTTTTATTCCAAGAAAGCGCTAAAAAAGCTTCAAACCTATTTTTACTGGAATGAAAGTAAGTTTTCAAAGCTCAAATGAAAGCCCAATATTCTATTATCAGCTTGCTGCAGGATTTGTACTCTCGAAATTAGAATAAAAGCCAAATATTTCAAACCGGTTTTTGTCTACACTGAGAACACTTTGGAAATTATTTTATGTCATTTGAATAACGACTAAAAAGGTTTTAAAATGATACATCTTGCAACTGAGACATCTTTTGACGTCTTTGAATTTTTTAACGTCGTTCGAATCACGGCTGAGGGGCTTTTGTGTGATAAATCGCTGGACTCGACCCCATCATTATTTACGGTAACTGATTTTGCATAGAAAACAAAAAAAGAAAAAACTAAAACACACCCGAAAAGAAAGTGCCTCTCACTTTCAATGGTCGGAGCAACAATCACTAATCACGGAAATTGGTTTTCCAGAAAAATGTTTGGTCTGAATAGATTAATTTAGATTGTATAGAAAAAATATTTTGTTTTTGCGCCGTTGCCTTTTTTTTTCCCAACTACCTTTTACAATTGAATTTGCGGATCTTTGATTTCTGTGATACCTAAGTTATTGTTTACATATGATATTTGGCACGCTGAGTACGGTACGGTGGCTCTTTCTATATTGCATCGTGTTGTGTCACATCGAGTCGTGATAAAAGGGAAAAAACGTGCAATATGAAGATTCTACTCTTACATGTCTTTTCATTCTACTACTGTCAAAAAATGTGAAAATAATTATACAGAGAGTACATTTTAGAAAACTACCTTTTACAATTTTCCAAACTACCTTTTTTCCAAACTACCTTTTACGATTGATTAGGGGATATTTGATTTCTGTGAAACCTAAGTTATTGTTTATATATGATATTTGGCACGCTGAATTTTAGAAAAAAATCAAAGGGCCCTCAAATTTTTTTTTAAAAACGTTGATTAAATTCAGGTTCAATGACTTACCTCTATGTGGCCCCCAGTGCATATGGAAATGATCCAATATATATTTTCCTTCTAACATACTCCCACTCAACTGCCACTTCACACTCTCAGGTGGGGAGACCATAATTGTATGGCCATTGTTAGCTATGGTCCAATCTTCAGACAAGTTGCCCTGGATTAGTTCGAGGTTGAACATTGGGAGCCACTTTTTGACAGCTTGTTTCTCTTTGATGTCAATCGGAGATTGACGCTTGCCTGACAGATTTCAATATTACAATCGATTACAATATCAGGCACTGTATCCAATTATAATAGAATAACAATCATATGAAAGTTTTGATAGTAGACCAGAAAGATTTTTAAAAATCTTCCAAAGCACGGTTTCCCTACCCCCCCCTCTCCTCCGCCGCCAATCACTAGACAAAGACATCAATTTTAAGGTGAAAAATTGGACAACGTGACTGAAAATTAGAATTTAAAAAATACCAGGTGTTGAGGGGATAGGCAGAAGAGACCAAGAAGAAGAAAGCAGATAACCGAAAATTGAATTCTGGAAAAAAAATCAATTACGTGACTGATTATCTGACTATTGCGAAAATTCGTGGATTCGAATCCCACTTCAGTCATATTTGGAGGGGCCCAGTGTCAAGGTGGTACAAAATGGATGACATCACCCTCCCCAACGGTTGGTCCTGCATTGAGCAGGACCGGGGGCTGATAATACTTTTAAAAAATGCCAAATATAATTACTTCGGTTTACTCGACGGATGAAAATTGATGTGGAGTCGAATTGCCCATAATTCGAATAGACATATGGAAACATTGAATACGTTTCTAATCAATTGCATTTTGTTAAGTTAGTTCAGACCTAGGATTTTAATCCCTACAAAACCCATACAATACAAGGTATCTGATATTGTATTCAATTGGTTCTTTCCTTTTTTAGCAAGGGGAAACTGCTCTGCCCATTTGTGTTGGGTTTTGTGCGACCACGAATTGTCCAGACTCATAATGTGTGCATTCGTTTTGGAGCAAAATGGAGAAGTTTGGGTTTGCAGGAAAGTTGTACTGTTTGGACTAACTTGGCGTTTTAGACTTCTAAACAGAGATTGAGAATTTGAGACGTTTCGGATTAGTCTGCTGGTGTTTAAATTCATTACAGTTTGGGTTATTTGTAATACTAAAGCATAAACAAGGATCTGAAAATGTTAGTAAAGAGTGTTCAAGTTGAAAGTTAAATTGAAGGAAATTGGGGATTATTTTTTCTAGTATTATACTTACGTATTCAATGCATTGTGAAAATTGATAGAGCACAGATGAATTAGACACAATCAAGAGGCTTGGATGGCAATTATATTGCTCAACAATATCTGAACGATTTATGGCTCATTCTCAATTTTCTTACCTTGAATATATATTATTTTCACGAGAAATAGTGCCCAATGTATTTTTCAGATTTCCTGTAATAGATTTCATTGCAGAGTCACGTTAATATCCATGAAGGAAACAACAAAGAGCCTATTTTTATAATACCGTTAAAAAGGTGACATGGCCACTAAAAAACTAAACAGCAGAAAATGCTTACATCATTAGCGAATTGGTTGAAATACGAATTTCAAGCTATGAAAAAATTTTGTTTGATTTTCAAATCTGAGTTTACTAGGAAAGAAATCCAACTGAAAAATGGCAACAAGTTGCAATGAAATTCTATGAGCACATATTCTTCTTTCCAATTTTCGGTCCCCTAAAAAATTAAGCCCATCATAAACACCATGTAGCCGCTCTTCAATCGTGTTCCCCGCCATTTAGAGACAACAATTTTTACTAAGTAACAAGGCTGGTAATTCAAACATTTCCAACAGACAGTTGGGAAAGAGCCAATTAACGTGTGAACCAAAAAATTCACCTTGTTTTGAAAAACTTCAATCGATTTTCAAAGACAAAAATGTATAAAGAAAGAAACAAAGAATTTATTTCTCCCAAATCAAGTTTTTACACAACGTAGTCAAACATTATAAAGAACCAAGATGATCAAGGCGAGGATAGACGAAAGGCAAAATAAATACCCACTGAAAGTCTACCCTAGAAAGTAAAGATTATATTTAAAATCATGAAGTATTTATAATCTTAGTAAATTAATTTTTTTAATATAAAAATTATTATTTTTTTAATCTAATTATTTAGGCTAAGGAAATTTCTTCTATTTAACAGTATATCAAGGTTAGCTTAAGGCTGCACTATGTAATCGTCTCGCCATGAATTTAGTCTTATGTTTTTGACATGTACAAAAAAGCTCTTCGATTTTCAGAAACAAATTAGTATTGGCCCTTTTTTGATGAAAAAACCCAATTTACGAAAACTGAAACGATTGGTGAAAATTTTATGCCGCTGGTAAATTTGAAAATTAAAAGCATCTTTGGAGATTAGAAGTCGATCACGTTTTTCGTGAACTTTACACTTTCGCTGTTTGATAGTGGAGTTTGCCTTCCATTTAACAAAGAAATTAACTAACTAAACTTAGAAATTAAAAGTCAAAAACCGCAATCAATAGAAAACTATGACTTGGCTGGCAAGAAGGCTTCGAAAAAAATCGTTTTTTTATATATCGCGAAAACTCTTGTAGAATCTCTATGTTCAAGCGCTGGCCGTGAATGATGTTTTACATCTATGAGGCTGGAAAAAACTGAGGAGCTCTCAGCACGTTGAAAACTGGCATTTCCGAGCTAATAATTAAAAAAATTTACATGTTTATCAATTCAGATTTCCTCTCACATGTAACATAAGACATGAGCGTCAAAAGGCAACCTTTATTCGGAAAGTATTTTAGTAGTCCGATTGCTCAACTCATATGACAACAGCTGGCTTTTCAGTTTTTCACAAGTGATACTTCATGTCAAAAATTCATATAAATTTTGAAAATCTTTGATGTTTTAGACGCTTGACAAGTATTAAAGGCAGATTAGTTGCAAGAAACATAGTAAAAAAGATTATAAAAACAGTTTCAGTAAATTTTTCATACAACAAGAGCAATGGAATTACAAAACTAAAACACAATAGGCTGCACAAAAAATTGACATTTTACTCAGCAAAACTAGAGAAAACAATTTGAAAGACCCATCTAAAAGAAAACAAGCAATCAAAAAGAAACAAGAGCTAACCAAGGGGAAAACAAGCATGAAATGTGCGATCTCTGACAAATAGATGTCTTCTGGAGTGCAATCAAAAAGTGAGAGCTAACTTTACTTAAGAAAAACAGAAAAGGCAGCTTTGAATGAAAAACCAAAAACATTAGACTTTTTTCTTTTCCCCATCTGTGAATTTTTAGCGGTACAATTTTTGTTAACTGTCCGTTTTTGATTTTAAAAAATTGGAATGCGAACTAATTATACGATGACAAAAATACTTGGTTTTTTGGCGAACTAATTATACGATGACAAAAACACTTGATTTTTATATTTAACCTTGTAAAACAGTTCATTACACCATAAAGTGAGGCAAATTGCCTGTGTAAGTTTCTTGTGGACTGGTGAAAAGTAAAAAGAGCTAACTATTACTAGGAAGAGTTTAGCAATTTCAGTTTCATGAACTGGTCACAATATAAAATTGAATCACCAACATTCGAGAGCGTATAAGAAATGACAATGACAGAGACTCCTTCTGAACTCATGTGAAATAAATATTCGAGAAAACCAGGACAACCGGTTGCAGTGCAAACAGCACAGAATTCCGAGCAAGTAAATTTTCATAGCGAAGTCTAAACAAATTCAAAAAAAAGCAAACTTCTGGAGGTTTTTTGTTTATTGTTCAGTTGGTTGTTTATTTCGAACTGCTTAATGAGCCAGAGGACAAATTAAAATAGGTCAAATACCCCCAGAACAACGAAAAAATTGATTTGAAAACGCAAAAATTGAGACCAGTTATTCTCGACACTGAAGAACCATTTTGAAACTTTTTAGAAACACTTGTCACCGCTAAACAAGCTTGAATAAAATAACAAAACCCACCCTGCGCCATAGTTTGTTCAATTCACTTCGTGTGAAGTTGCCGCAACAAAAACAGATCGCAAAAAGCCCGAAAAAACTTCATTAAATAGCAAACCGAAATAAATTCTCGAAACAACACAGAGGCAAGTCAGTAACAAAAATATTTAAAAAATTCAAAAAATCAAATGAACCTTCAAAATTTTTAAAACACATTAGGTAAAATTATCCAGGATATCAAAAGCGAGTTGAGTAATTACGTTAACAGGCTTTGGCTGCCACCACCACTCCTTAGATTGGTCCTGAAAAAAGAACTCTTTTGGAAACTTGTGTTAGATTATTTAAAACATTTTAATAGATTTAATAGCAGTTTCCTGAGAATTAAATTTCTGAGAAAATGTCTCGATAACGACATTATACCAGATTTTGTACGGTTTCGCGTGCCTGATAACGGTGTTTTTTCGAATCAAGCGGTGTACAGCTTCCAACTGAGACTCTTGAGATCTGAGATAAGCCAGGTAAATGCGGATAGGGAAAAGCCAACTAATTTTGTGGTCGCTCTGAAAAAAAACCAACCCTTGCCGAAAAATACTATGGCAACATCAAAAAACATCTTGATGAAAATGATAGCCTAACACCAGATCAATACAAAGTCGCTCTGAAAACAATTCATTCAAATGAGGTGAAAAACTACGTTACCAAACATCCCTCTAAACTGACAGGCTCTCAGACTCCTGAAATTCACCGTATACACCAGGTCCATATCTCACGCAAAGTTTTACCGTAAAAACTTCCTAAAACGACTTTAATGATTCAGGTTTTTATCTGTGAAAAACAAAGTTGGCAACTAAATTGATAGACCGATGACTTCTTTGCCTACTAATTCGAGAAAAAGTATTTAAAAGATATTCAAAGATTGGCAAAGATTGCCAATCTTTGCAAAGATTGGCTCATCAGCCATTGAAAAAGTTATACTTGGTTCTGTGAACACATAAATCGGCAACTAGATCGACAGAAAGTCGAGCAAAAGCCCAAGACAATTGTTTTTATTAGATTCAGTTAAACACGAAATACAAAAACAATCCAATAAAAACAATTTTTAGCGCAGATCTTGCACAAAATCTTCACGCGATAGTTTTGACTTACTCGCTTGGATAGAAATAACATTAACTGCATATGAACAGCATTAGTGCGAGGCACTAGCAAGCCGAAATTATTAAAACTAAATTCAGTAGCTTTTAGCTTTGTTTAATGAAATCATGAAAGCAATCAAAACTAAACAAAACAGTCAACATATGTTGGAAAAATATAAAAGAACAAGGAAACTGAAAAAAAAAATTGATTGAAACTTTTCAGCTCATATTTGAAAGAAAAAATAGTCAAATTTACAGTGGGAAATCAGAAAACTAAAATCCAATATTTAAACTAGAAGTCCATCATGTTTTTCATGACAATTATACTTTTACTGTTCAATATTGGAGTATGCCTTCCTTTTAACAAAAGAAATAAATGATCTAAACTTTAAAAGAAATCGAAAAACAAATTTCCTAAAAACGAAAAAAAAAAACAATCATCACGACGTACATAAGTGACATCACTTCGTTAGTTACAATGGATCCTTATGTATATAATTGGTTTATATAACTATGCTCTTAGTAACAAAACAGCTTAGCAATATATACACCAGGTCCAAACTGGTAATTGACATTAGCAGAAACATAAAATATCAAAAAACAACCGTTTTTGCTACTTCTGAACTCAACTTTTACTTCCAAATATACGCAGAGCGAAAAAGAATGCTAAAGGGAAAGAATTAAGACAACATTAACAATGATGCGCGCTGCATATGTCTCTATGCTATAGGCGCTGTTTGAGAACTGCTCCGTGCTAAAACTTTATTAGTTGAAGCAAAATAGACCAAGTCTTGTGAATTCAATCAAAATAAGAAAAAAGAGAAAAAACTCTCGAAAAAAGTATCCCAATTTCAAAACATCCTCGATGCGTATACAACCGTTTGAATAATCAGAAGAAAAAACCAGAAACACAATCCAAAAGAATTAAGCCAAAACGCATACACTGAAACATTTCAGAATAGCGACTATCATAACAACCTGGAGCAAAGAAATGAAGAATCAAACTAATGTGATCATTGAAAGCAACTCACTACCCACCAATCAAGAACCTAAAATTAAAGGACTCAACTTAGGTAACATGTTTACTTTCACTAAACACATTACCACAGAGATGAACAAACTCCAAACACGCAATAACTTACTGAAAAAGCTCTGGCTTTTTCAGTAAGTTACTTGCTGAATAACAAGCTTGGGAAGCAGCAAAGAATCACATAAAAGGCCATTGGGCGTAGTGTTCTGAATTACGCAGCTCCTCGACAAAACACAGCA